TGAAACACTTTTTTTTTTAAATTTCATTTTCGGCAATCTATTTGTAATGTAAAGACCTGAACTGCAGGATGAAATCACTGGACAGCCTCCTTTTAAAAAACATTTTATTAAAATTCAGTTTTGTATAAAATAGGCATCGACTTGCGTATTTTCTAATAACCCATTAAGAGAAGTTTCAAATCAAGCTTTAAAACGTGTTATTAACCATCTACCCAGCCATTTGAAAGATACATGCCTGTGATAAGAGTATTGTATTGCCATTAACCTGTGGGACGGTTCGAGACATCTCTTATTCACACAAAACTCTAAATGCATCTAATTAAAGCCACAAGATCAGCTGTCCATATTAATCACTCACCAGTTTAATTAAGGTAAACCAGCTTGTCAGAAAGCCAGTCTTCTCTCTATTCTTCACCGTTATCGACTTTTAATAGTTCACTGGATTAGTAATTACTTGTTTATGGCATTATCAAGTACCCGGGAGAGAAAACCACAGGATGTGCCCAGGAAACTGCTTTAGGCGACTCTTCCTTGGGACACGGAGAGGAGAAATCTACCCCGTCAGATAAAGTTTCCTAAAAAGCCATACAATGTGATTTAGACACAAGTACGACCCAGAAGAGAAACAAACTGAGCTACAAGTATCTGAACGAGAGATTCAGACTTGGGAGTTCATTTTGTGGCTACTCAGGTTAATGCAGGCGTTCTGAAGACTAAGCTAGGAAAAAGGCAGCTAGCGAGACCTCTTGCTCACTTGGAAAAAACAGATCTTTCACGCAGAGCGCGCAGGAGTGGGCCACTCCACGAGGGACGAGAAGAAAGCAAGCTACAAGCCCTACAATGAAAGAACATTTTCTACAGGATCAACTCCTTTCCTAAGTGATTAGGGTATAGGTGAGGAAGGGAGCAAGCCTCCTCCTCACTGTTCCAGCATGCTCACCTTGGGAGTAAATCCCAGACAGCAACAGTTCATTCCAACACAGTGCAGTGGCTGAGGGATGAGAGCCCTCTCCAACCTACGGGCCGGCCTGCCTGGCAAACCGCTGCTGTCCCTCTTCGAAGACTTCAGCGTTTCGGTGAACGTTCCCCATCCACTTGGGCTCTGCTCAGCTTCTCAAGTAGTGGTGATCACAGAGAAGACTGATGATCGCGGGTTGTTATGAAATGCGATGACATACAACATGACCGAAATCAGGGGGAGGAGGGAGCAGGAGAGCGGAGAAAAAAAGGGATTATGTATATTCCTAATTCTCCTTAGGCATACCTGCTGCCATCAGTGATGAACATTTGTTCTGGGAAGAGCTGCTACCAGTGGAACGCTTAGCATATGAACACTAACCTAATTCCTGTTGGAAATAAACCAATTTCCACTCTCTCCTTTACTATAGGAGTATTTCAACCTAATAATAAAATCTCCACTGTAGCATGTCAGACCAGCAGCTCTCTGGTAGCAGGCTGGAATTTTAAGTCTTAATGCAGCAATATCAGCTGTAATGAATTCTACGTAAATATGACTTCTAAAAATAAAAAGCCTTTTTCTTTCCTTAAAACCATGTATGAATGAGAGTTTAGAAGAAAAGGAAATGGGGTTTAGCCTCTCACTGCTGTCAGTAATGAGGATCCTTGTGAAACAGTTTAACTATTCCCACTCAGTGCAACCTAAATAAAAATATTTCACTTGCATTATTCAGCTCAGCTTTACATTACCATTCAACATGGGCCACCACAATAAAAATTATAACTGCTTATAAAACAAGTGAAGAATATTAGAAAAGGTAAAGTGGGATGAACAGACAGAACAGAGTTAAATCCTGAATCGTCGGAAAATTCCACCAGCCCCACAAGGTGAATTCCACTGAATACCAAGACCCGGACAAGAAAATTGTTTTTCCACAGGAAGAACAGATTCATTAAAGAGTTTTGTATTATAATCTATAACAAAAGAGTATAGCTACTTATTCTGTTATTAACTTGTGCACATTCATCACATCTTGTTCATTGTTACTTGCTTAATTTCCCACTGAAATATACGGGAAGTTGGTTTCCAAAGTCCTGCTTTATCTGAATGTTTACCTTAAATAAACCATTAGCGGTAATCAAAATAAACGAATCATTATAAAATGCTATTGAGAAAAATGAAAGTGATACCAACAAAAAAAAGTCTGGATCTAAATTTAAATACAAAGAAAAAAGCACCCATTGAAATGTACACATATACTTTGCAGTAAGTATTATGCACAGAGGTCAGAGTTTCTGAGCGACCTCAGCTCCAACAACCAGAGACGCTGCTGCCGACTACTCCTGAAGAACCGGTGTCCTTTCTACATTTTATTTATATATGTATATCCACACACGCAACCGCACACGCACACAAAAGCGCTGCACAGTTATGACCCATCTGAAAGCAAACACGTTCGCTGCATTGTCAGCGCTCCATTGTAACGCACTCTACCTTTTCTGAATGCAACGTTCAGCCTCAGCTTAGCACCCTGACAAATAAAGGAAAGCACTTTATGAAACCAATTTAATTGGGAGGTGACAGAAAACATACAGCCATTTTCTTTAGCCTTATCGCTGAATTGGCTTCAGCTCCAATCTCTGCCAAATCCCACTCAACAGAAGACATTAACCAGGTCAGCGGAACAGGTGCCGCGCGGTGTCTGGCAAGAGGCTGGCATCCCCACAATTACTTGCACACAATGAAGCAGTAATCTTTACAGATCATCTCTCCCAAGAAGCATATTGGGGACGGGAGGAGAGGAGAAGGGTGGAAGGGAGGGCGGGAGGGAGAAAAGGAGGGAGGGAGGGCTAAAAAAAAAAAAAAAACCACAAGCAAGAAAGGAAAATGAATGTGTAGCTGCCTCGCGGCTCAGCAGATGTCTGTGCGTGATGTACGAGGCTAGGATAAGCTGTCGTAGCCCGCTGCCAAAGAGTGGTAAGTGATTAAAGCCTCCACCAGGCTAAGCACCATATTTAGAGTCTATGGGGTTTTGAAAGTTGCACCCATTCCTTGCTGTGCTGCCAGATGTTGTTGGCCGGTCCCGCTCCTATTCACTGTGCGCGGGAGGCAGCAGTTGGTACAGCAAGGAATGCAATCTGGAACGTTTCCGGAGGTGCCGTACATTAAAACGGTGTCACCCATCCTTCACCTCTACCGAATGCTGAAACAACTCCAATTTGCTGCCACTTCCCTCTTGGGAAATGGCCAAGATACAGTTGTGCCTGGCAGACCCATTTGTTTTACTCAGGTGATTCTCTTCCCTCAATGACCTCTATTAGTTTAAGTTTTAATTTAGATTAACCCCAGCACCCCAATTAACCAGTGAGGGGAAAAGCTAAGCTGTGACTAGTCATATTTCTGAAATCAGGATTTATCGAAGTTAAAGTTATTAGAAGGAAAGACGGGCCATTCATCTATTGCTATTTTTCTTTTAAAAATTTAACATTTCGTGGCCAATAAGCACCTCCTCTGCACAGGTCTACAGACTGTCAATCACAGCTATTTCTCCTCAACCACTTCACTATTTTGTTACACTCACTTAATTTGTTCTGCGTTCTTAGGGTCCACGTGGCCCCCAAAGCTGAGCTTCTGGTCCACTTGGACCCCAAATTCCACCTCAGTATTATCTCACCACGTTACAGATTTGGCCTCTTCGACTACTGCTGCCAACAAGACAGGCACTCTCTGATCTCCGTTTTAGAGCCTACACAGATGAACCTGGCATCTTCACCCACCCAAGAGATGCTGCTCAATTCACAGCAATAGTAGCAGAGATGCTCTTACAATAAATACACAGCCTGGAGAGGAGCTAGCTTGGAATACATTCCTGGCTCAGAGGCAGGCTGCCTCGAGTAGGTCCCTCACAAACATTAAATATTCAAATTGTCCTAATTCTGCACTAGGTGAGGTCTACTGCAAAAATTTTCTTGGACATCTACAGCAGTAGGGTTGGAAGTGTGTTGAAAACCTTCTTGGAGGGAGGGAAAAAAAAGGCAGCATTAAAGTTCTCTGTACTTCCTATCTGTAAAACACAGAGAGGAATTACCAATTTAATACATCTTTTTATTCATCTTTAGTTCTGGCTCTGCACATGAAACCCCAAATTTTGAAAGTATTGCTTCTGGTTAAATCAGTTGTCAGAGCACGGTCATATGGCAACAGCTCTCTTCCACTGCCCTAATGCTTTACTAGCCACTCTAATAACTATTCAGATCAGAAATTTCTGCCTTTCTAATGGTATACTGATATTTGTGTAGTCCTGAAGTCAAAGCTCTCTGTTGACCATCAGAGCAAAACTAGTTTTTCATGCATTGGGGAAGGACTTACAGTGAATCACACTCCTCACTATATGGCGATTTCAGTATTTCATAAAGCTGGCACTGTCCTTTGTTAAATAAATTAGAAACACAAAGCTTCCCTAAGCTGCAGCCTCCATGCACTCGGTGCAGATTCCTTGTTTCTAAGAATTTTGCAAATAAAAAGAATAACTGGCCTAAATCCAAGCTGGCACAACTCCAAGAAAAGTGCTAGAGAAGCCCTGCAGCTTTTTCATTCTGCAGGTAGATGAGATGATTTAGGTTGAAACGAGAGTAACTTTGGTGCTTTTGAGGATCTACTAGAATTATTTTTCATAATGGGACTCTACCCACAGAGAACAGTCACCTTTAGAGAATTCAGTAATTTTTCCCTTGCGTAGCAATGTTCACCAGCGAGAACTGCAGGCACAGACCTTATCCCGCAGCCCTGACTCACTCAAGTACAGCAGTGCCAGTAACGGCGGTAAGTTTACATCCGCAATGCATGTTTAAGCTCACATAGCCCTACATCAAAAGTTGAGAGCAAAGTCCTCTGAGGTATCTACAGAGATTTGGGGTGTTAAAACAGGCAACCGAGTTTCCCCGGTAAGAGAAATTTTGAGCACAGAACAAACCGCATTAGCTCTGTAAGTATTAAAACCCAACCGGAGCCATAATTCCAACACAGATTTACCATCACCTACCTGGTGATAAAAGTCATCGTCATCAAATATCTCCTCATCTATGTCCTTCAGGTGCCTGTTGGAATCTGACTGAGGGAGGACTTCCTAGAAGCACAAAGGAAATACCGAAAGCTCGTATGTGCGTATTGCTGTCCCTAACTCTGACGACATCACGTGCAGCAGCTTGTAAACACACTTGAAGATACGAAGGAGTGCAGAAAATCTCCCAACATAACAAGCTTTTACGGACTAGGAATACATTTAAAGGCAAGGCGGAAATGCTGCCAATGCCAAAATAGATTTATGATACCTTTACTGGGAAATAAATAGGACTGTGCAAAGTCTTTCTGGCAAAATACTACAGATATTTTTAATGTAATGGCAAAAATATATCTTGCAAGTGCAGTAATTCTACACGATCTCTCAGAATTGAGTATTTATTCATTCTTAAATACTAAATTAATAACGGCCTTACTAGTAACATATTCTGTAGGTTATGTGCAGTACAATTTTAGAAGTGACTTTCTGGGTTAAAGATTCTAAACTTCAGAGTGAAAACAAAGTTTCGTAGCCGCTACCTCAAAAAGCAGATTTAGAGAGCACCACTTCCTACAGCACAGAAGGGGCACAATCACAGACCAACCCTTGTTTTCCCCTGTCAAGAACTGACACAGGAGATAATGCAAACAACGTAAAACTGGAATTGAAATGTCTACGTCTTTTTCTTAGCCATCACATTACAGGAATCAACGCTCGGATATCTCCTTCATGACTCTCTCACAAACAAGGATATTACCTGCTAAAGGCTCAAGCTAATTGCTTTGCAGAGAGTTTCACTGCTGCTACAGCATGAGTTATATAAACAAAACACCCTTACCGAATTTTCAGGCAAAGATTCAGGGACCGGATGAGATTCCTGTTCCTGCTTTCCCAGCACTGTATACACTGATCGCTTGGTCTGTGTCCGCCGTAGCAATCTCTCTTTGTCCATCATAATATGATCAATCTGAGTCAAGATTGAACGCTCAAAGGCACCGAAACCCTGCAACAACATTAACTAGTGTCAGATAATGCAGAAAGCTTTTCCTCAAGGCAGCAATGTTCCTCTATCTTTCCATGTCAGTGGATAAGCAGACAGCATTCCAAGAGGAGGGGGTTTGGGTTTCATTGCAGGGATTTCTGCTAGTTTTTTTTATTTGTTTCTCCCTCTCTCTCCCTTCCCAACCTGAGGCAACCTGACGCCTGGCTTAATAAAATGCCTTTGCTGTTCTGGTCCAGATGAACTTCTCAATGATTAATACTAACTCACAGATGTTAGGAGACCCTGGATCTTCGGGTGAAATGATTACCCACTGTATTCGAGTGTACACTTCATGGAGGAAGAGAGCCACAAAAGCCCCTAGTTCTGCTATAAAGCACAAACAGCTTGTGGATCAGCAATAGTGGCATTTTCGTAGAGCTTACTCACTGCTGGAGACTGGCTGTGATGACATGTCTGGTTGGGAGAACACCAATACTATCCAAGAGTTTTTCCCAAAACTTGGGAAAGCCCCTGAACAGTTTTTTCCTGACCATCTGCTCAAAACAAAAGAGAGCAGCTTACACCTTCGAAATCTGAGGGTTGAGCTTCTTTCCAAGTTCCTTTAAGGTTGGGGAAAAGTGTGTACCTGTGTATTTAATTCTTACTGCTGTAACTCTCAGCTTGACTTGGAACATCCATGATACGAAACTTTCAAACCAATTGGTTCCACAAATCTCTGCTAAACAATAAGCATGTCAGCGCACATACACAAAGACTTGCCTTTCCCATTTTGCCAGATGCCAGCTTTGTCTTCTCATGCCACTTCTGCAAGACGTTGTTCCGGTAAGTCCTGAAGTCAGCGTACCGCTTGGCTATGAACTCTGGGTAGTCCTCCATCTTTAGCTTTCTTTTGGGGAGGCTCCTCCTCTTCTCCTGCACCTTATCCACTTGCTCTTCATCGCTACTGCTAGGGATTTCATCATCACTAGAACAAAAATACGCAGACTAAACACTCTGCACCTCTCTAAGGCAACGTGTGTGAATTCTTAATGGCCCCTCCGCTACCACCTGTGCTTTTTCCACACCATGGTGATATTTATGGCAAAAGACCCATGGTTTAGCCCCTCCTCCCTTATCAGAAAGATTACAAAACAGACTTCCCACACTGGCGGAAGGAATTCAAATGGTCATTTGCCCAGAGTGTCTGTCACCCAGATACAGCAGCAACTGAGAGACCAGCAAAGAGTGAGGTATGGTCAGGAAGGCTGGGCATTGTCCTGTCTGTTGGAGAGCTGGAGACCAAAGGATTCAGAAAGGTCTTGTCTTATTTTGTATTTACCTCTCAGTTTTCGATTGCTTTCCATCTACCAGATGCCTCGTGCCTGGGTATTGATAAAGCAGCTCATCCTGAAGGTCCACTAATACTTTCAGCAATGCCTCCAGGGCTTTACAACCTGCAGAAGAAGAGACACAAGTGACAATTTCCCACTGATCTTTGCTTCTGGTGAAGACTTAGCTTTGCAGTGCTTAGTTTCTCATCTTGAATCTGAATTTCTGCCACAGCTACTGCATGTCCCATTAACTGTTTTTCTCTAATCAGTTAGAGATGTGGTTTTATCCTCAAACTGATTTATAGCTGTTAATGTCAAACACCACCACTCTGCGAAAGAACATTTCTTTCCTAAAAAGGGAGGAAAGGAGGCAGGACTGCCTTCTAAACAACTGCCTGGCTGCACATGGGGAGTATACTGATCTAATGTTTCATCGACAAACATTCAGACCGCAGAGCCGAAAGGACTAACATATTGAAGAAGCAAGTACGGTGTGCAGAAGCATCTGATGACACATGCATATGACAACAACCTTTTTTTTGCTGACTAACTCATTTCTCTCCTGCGTTAAGTTCTGCAGCAGCGGCCAGCTTCAGTTGAATAAGATGAAGCAACGCAAGGGAAAATGTATAGATGTACATCCCATCTAAACTTGACCTCTGACTTTTCTTTCTTGTACATAACGTGCATGTTATAGGGAGCAGAAGGAGGGAAGGCAAGAAGAAAAACCGAACTCCTGCAGGGCTGTGACTGCTGCTGGTTTCTATGCTGCTGTGCTCACCACGCAGGACGTATAAGAAATTAGACTGTAAGTAAAGTTAAATGTAGCAAGATCTGATCTAGGGGGGAAACTTAAACAATGACCTGGCAAGTTTAGTGAGAGGATTCCAATCAGAAAAGCAGAACTGCACGCCCAGAGGTCCTTAAAAAGAGAGAAAGTGAAGAAAAGATTGGGGTGGAGAGGTACAAAATGATCAATACACGGTGTGAAGGTTAGTTTTCAGGGATGAGTAGTTGCTTTCTAGGGTATTTGCAGACACAAATCCTGAATGTAGATGGGATGCTGTGTATCCAAAGGCTTTCATAGCTGACAGTTGTCCTGTATCTATGCAGATGCAGAGGAAACGATCTCTGTCCAATGATTTTACGTTCTCCAAGGACACGCGGTTGCAGCTGACTGTGGGAAGGGTTAACTGCACACTGTTGCAGCATCTGTTCTTTAAAAATAGTTCTTTTGTGGCAACCAGCAAGCCTCCCTGTAGAAAACAAGTGTTTGTCTAGGCCTACACAAACTCTCCCTTTGTACGTTGCTACACATCAATCACAGGGTCAGCTCTTGCAGGTAAAACACTTAGTACGCCTCTATCAAAAACCTCAACTGAACTTTACACAGATTAATTTATATTTACCTGACACTGGTGTACTGCCTTCTGCTTTTACAAAGAGTTGGTGGGACGTTCCCCAGAGCTTGACCCTCTGCCAGTTCCTCCACTGACGTGAAGTCAGCAGGGCTGTTTTGCTTAATTCCCAAACCCGTTTCTTTCTTTGTAGTTAGTATAAAAGAATGGAGAGAACTTTTCACCACTCGATTTTTTCCTTTATTTCTTTTTTTTAATGGAGGACACAGAGATCATGGGTAGAGTGAACAGCAAATCTTCATCAGCCAGACAGAGACAGTGCAAGCAGAAATCAGCCCAGACATTCAGAGGTCTCAATCTCCCGCATGTTACCACTGTGATATTGCTCAGTTGTCACCATCTTCAGATAAATTACGGCCTGACCTCAGTAACAGGAATGTCAAGGAGAAGAGGCTTTAAGATTTTTTGTTGCAGATCAGCTGTTGGACTCATCCTCCTCCAGCTTGCGGTTCACTTTAGATACGTTCTGACAACTCTTCTATATAAACCTATTAACGGATTAGGTTTGCCATACTTGTAAAACAGTCTTGTGTTAGCATCAAAACAATTCCGAGAGACAAGCAGACAAAAGCCCTTAAAAATGCATTTGTTGTGTGTGTCTGCAGCTAAAGCATCGCTCGCAAAAAGAAAGTGCCCCCACCCTAGCCCGAGTGCACAGCTTACAACAGCAAAATCTTTCCCACTGCCTGTAACACAGCTAAATGTCCCCAGAGCTTCCGAAACTGTTTATTTTCTACCCGCTGCCTATCCTCCAGCAGCAGTGCTAATGCACCCCAGGCGGCTTTGATCCTGTCAATTACAACTGGAGTAGCACTCCAGCTCTTCGGGGTATATCAGGGCCACGGCAAGCAGGCAAGGAATAAAGGCAGGCTCAAGCTCCCCCAGGCTATGAGATATGGACCCCAACAAAAGTGGGGATGGGGAGCAATTTTATTTGGAGTGCAGGGGATGCAGAGGGCAGGGAAGACAATGACCGTGCATCTAACCAGGTGGGAGGGCTAATTATTCCAGACAGTGGCTTCATCATGAGCCTCTTACAGCTGGATAACTTCCGTGCTTTCGGTTCTTGTGCATTTAATAGCATTATCGGCTGGCATTCTCATTGTTACTGTTGGGTGCTTAAGTGCGCTGTAAACTCAACTTCAGAAGCCAAGTGTCACCCTCCCCTGCCCTCCTCCCATCCAGCCCTGCCCTATCCATTTCACGTTTAATTCCAGAAGGGACTGTTTTCTTCCCAGTCTCCTCGCCATCTTCTCTTCCCTCTAATGCCCTCATCTGCCTTCACGCCATCTGCTTTGGGGAAAAGACCGAATCCATTTGTGAATGAAGGCAGCGTAAAACCAAACTGCTTCATAGGTGCAAACTATGTTATTTTGAAGGAAAGCCGGACCCTAAACCTCCTGCCCTCCTACCCCTCCCAGCACATTTTTTTTAATGCTGCTCCTTGTCTGAAACAATTAAAGAGAAAAGAGTCACAAACATGGAGCTTTCGAGCATGCCGGTACATTGAAGCAACCAGCTAGCAGCTTTCAGACGTGATAACCACCGGGTTTGTACCTCCTGCTCCCTTCCCTGCTCTCTTCGCAGAACAAAGCCAGCAATGCCTCTAAGAACACAGGCAATGCCAGCCCTGACCACGCAGCAGGGGCCTCCCACTGCCACGAGCTAGGCAGTCCCTGATGATTTTCAGTTTCTAAAGCTTTTGGGATCAAGAAGGTATCGACACTGTGGTTTGCACCGGCACCACAACCCGGCCAAGGCTCAAACAATGCTGTTGAAGCTCTACGACCACCCTCCCACCCCTCACTCACCAGCGGGAAGACCCCGACGCCAACAGCTTATTCCCAGAACTCCTACACCAGTGCTGCCATCAGTATCGCTTCTGGGTGCTGCTCTGTGGTGTTCAGCCAACTGCAGATGCTCACACATCCCCAGCTGCCCCTTCCCAGCCCAGCGCACCAGGCAGGGGCCAGCGACTGCAGGCCCAGCGCTGCGAAGGCAACTGTTCAGTCGCGATACGCAAAACCTCTCCCGACCTGACTTTGCAGGCACAGGCTATCGCCCCAGTTAACCCCAGTCTGTGCCTCTCCCCCCCAACTCCGTCCCCCTTCTCGCCCACTCTCTGCCGGCAGCTTTGCTGCATCTCTCTTACGATCCGCACCGCAATGTGCTGGGGTAAATATTCTACCTTATATCGACATCAGCGTCACAACGGACACCTTTAACGCTGGGCCATACATCACCGGCGAGAAAAATCTCGCAACTATCTCCCTTTCCAGGAGTTACTTCATGTCCAGCCTGTGTTTTTTGAGGACAGGTGGCTCAGCACTGCCTTAAAAACAAAAGAAGCTGGATCCCTTTACGGCATTTCAGTATGAGCAACTGAAATCCCCAAAACAACAACTCATAGTCTGTGTGTAGGAGAGGCCAGCTAACCCCAGGACAACAGGCAACCCCTCCTTCCATCGAACCTTTTCAAAGCTGCCCTTTGGGAAAGAAAAAGGGATGCTGAGTGGGATCCATCTGCAGCTGCTCCAAGAACAGAGCAAACGTGGTTTGAATATAACTTCCAGCTTAAATGGGGCTCGGAGTGTCTGTGGTGAGACGCTAACTTGTAAGAGTCACTTTTAAGAGTCCACGGGAGCCCCTTCATTTTGTGTACAGGAGCAAAAAAGTTGTTCCAGATCCAGCAGACAGCATATCAATCCACCGAGAAAGCTGGGAGCCAGTATCAGTAAATCAAAGTGTGCCTTTCTGTTAATACTCTCTCATACGTTCTCATTTTATACATCCCTTCACCCAGTCAGAAAGTAGCCCTGGAGTATTTAGCTCCATTCAGGGATAGCACTGCCATGTATCAAAGTGTCAGGAGACCCACCAGAGATGAAATCTGTCCTACTGCTCTCAAACCACAAAAAATCAATTTTGTCAATGCCAGTGGTTACGGACAAACCGGCTGTGCTGCCGGCGTCCCCCACTCCGTGCGGGGTGGCTCCTGGCCGCGGGGTACCGGCCCC